CATCTCTCGATAAGACTCGGTATCTATACGAGATTCGATATCTCCCGCATCCCAGATTTCCTGAATATCTGACACTGCTGCTTAGTCAGTGAATTATCGAATGGCAAACTAACTTACAGAAGCTACTTCTCCAAAATGTTACTTTCTGTCAGCTCTTGATCTATCAATATAGTTTCGAGAGAAATAAGGCTTGATTTTGGGTTCCTGCTATTGAAAACCAATGTTTGACTATGACAGAACATCGAACGACCGCTTCTCCAGTTGATAATTGTGATATCGATATTCCATCAATCCAATCGTGGGTAATTCAATCAAAAATATTCACTTTTCAAGCTGTCTTCTCCGGATTGAGAATGGCTTTATTTCACTGTTTTACAATGTAAAGCATAAAAATATGCTTTTGCTCGTATCTATGTGTAATAAATAGCTAAATATAGAGAAGAGACTTAACATAAATGGCATTACATTTTAAGACCCATAATTGAGTGAGTTGATGTAGCAAAAGTGAATCAGAAACTCACACTGAATACCCATACCCAAACCCAAACCCCAAACCGAAACCCAAACTCAAATACCGAAACCTAAACCCAAACCCAAACTCAATACCCAGACCCAAACCCCCAAACGGTTTGGGTTTGGTTCGGTGCATGCCTACACACACCCACACTCACACCCATAACCACACCCACACCCACACCCACACCCCACCCTATCGATGGTAGCCATCGATCTCAAATCATACTTAATAATCGTATATGTCATCTTAATTGCTTTAAATATGCTATTTGTCATAAAAATCTGAGTGATTCTCCGAGAAACAACTTCCTAATCTATGATGATGGCGAACCTTTATGCTTACGCTGCGAACTCAGAACTGCAAAAACTTGCACTGTCTGTGGAACGCGTATTGTTAGTGGAGGGCTGATTAATTTTGATACAATGAGTTATCATGCAGATTGTTTTCGTTGTACACTCTAAAAAAATAGGTATTCTCGGAAACCGATGAAAGAAGGTTTCCGAGGGTTCGAAAACCCATTTCTTACTCTCGGATACCCTTTCATGGGTTTTCGAAGGCTTGGAAACCCATTTTTCGCTCTCGGAAACTCTTAAAAGGTTTCCGATAGTAACAATGTCGGAAACCGAAAAAGGTTTCGAAAGTTCGAACACCCTTGAAAGAGTTTCCGAAGGCTCGGAAACATTTTTGGGTTTCCGACATTGTTACTATCGGAAACATTTTAAGGGTTTCCGTGCCTTCGGAAATTCATGAAAGGGTATCCGAGAGTAAGAAATGGGTTTCCGAGGGTTCGGAAACCTTTTTTCCGTCGGTTTCCAAGAATACCTATTTTTTTTTAGAGTGTAGTCAATGTCATCAGTCATTGGCTCATGAGAAAAAATTGCACACACACAATATGAAACCTTGTTGTATTCAGTGTTACAAAAATCATTTTGCACCACAATGTGCAAAGTGTTCCAACCCGATTTTTGTTGGAGCATCGGTTAATTACAATGGGAAGAAGTATCATCCAGATTGTTTTCGTTGTGGACAATGTCATAAAGCAGTGACCGACTCAGAATATTATACGCATCTTGGCGAACCTTGTTGCATAAAGTGTTTCAATGAACGCAATGCATTTCAATGTTCGCTTTGCTTTACAATAATTTCTAGTGGAAAATTAATCACTTGTGATGGCAAACACTATCATCCAGATTGTTTTCGTTGTGGTCGATGTCATAAAATGTTGATCAATGAAAAAGATTTATTCAAACATAATGAGAAGCCCTGTTGCATCAAATGTTACGAGAAAATACTTGCATCACGATGTTCAAAATGTTCAAAACCCATAACCGATATCAAGTATACGACATTTCACAACCAAAGTTTCCACATTAATTGTGTCACCTGTTGTAAATGTCATCGTGTAATTCGTAGCACAGAGAATTTTTATTACGATAGAATTGGCTTTTTATGTTTAACGTGTGGTAAATGATTTAACTATTGAAGATGGATTCTTCAAGATTTGAGAACATTGCGTCTTTTTTCGTTTCGAATCAAGTTCCTATTCTAAATTTATTCTTCAAAAAAAAATAATATTAATAACTCTAATTTCATTTAATCATGATCAATAAATCCGTCAAAAACAATTTATTATTAAAAGGGTGTGGGTGTGGGTGTGGGTGTGGGTGTGTGGTGCGGGTGTGGGGTGTGGGTGTGGGTTTGGGTGTGGGTGTGGGTGTGGGTGTGCCGCGTGGGTGTGGGTGTGCGCATCGCTGTTCTTTAGAAGATCCTCACACGTACACCCACACCCACACCACAGCCACAGCCACAGCCACACCCAGACCCACACCCACCCACACCCACACCCCACCCACACCCACACCCACCCACACCCACACCCACACCCACCCACAC